GCGCTGTCCAGCCCCGCGGTGGGCTTCGGGGACGGAGTTAGGGGTGCGCCGAGAAAGGGCGCACGCTGGGACCGGGGGGAGCGGGACGCAGCCTGCCCGGAGTCCTGCCGCACCACCGTGGTGACAGCGGGCGGGGCGCCCCACGCGCCGTGGCCAGGCCCTGCGCCACTGGCTGGTTTGGACGTCCGCGCGGGACGCGTCCCGTGACCAGCGTTTCTAAACCAGCGCGCTTCATTTCCGAAATCGGCGCTCAGTTTGCTTTTCATGAAAGATGAACGAGGTTACTTAATGTCTCACATAAACATGTCATCACCAGTATCCTTCTTCTTACCCAGTGCGGTCAAACGCAGCAGCCCAGCATAGGCGACGAGTCTGTCTGTCTCTGTCTGTCTGTCTGTCTGTCTGTCTGTCTCTCTCTCTCTCACACACACACACACACACACACACACACACACACACACACACCTACCTTGATTTACTTGCCTTTTGAAGAAATGTCAAATTCAGGGCAACTGGAGCTGCTAAGGATCAGAATTTTCTTTAATAAGCAGCCTTAATCTAATCAATTAGAAACTCAGTTCATAGACTGATTACCCTGAATCACCCTGAGTGGGTGACCATCCCAATAAGCACAGTTTGGATTTTGTAAGAACAGTTTTGCCTCATCTGTTGATAGATCATATTTTTCTAATGTTAAGTGGTCATCAATCCCACCTAGGTTACAGTAAGTCGTATTTTGTAAACATTGTTCAACTTGGTTGTCAATATTTTGATTGAAACTGGTGCATCTGAATTATAAATATAGCTGCCCTGTGCTTGTTTTCATCCTGTGTCCTCTTCCCTCGTTTTGACATCAAAAGTCATTAGTCTTAGGAAATGAATGGGTGTGCTTGCATCTTTTTCATGTTAGCTGGGAGAATTTATGAGTGCAGGATGAATGGTCTATTCCCAGACCTAGTACATTCAGTCAGTGTCATTCTCAGACCACGTTTCCTACCCCACGACCCTCTCAACTATGAAGTTTTCTTTAAAATCTATCATTAGATTTCTTTAATAGTGATGGTACAAACAGGGCTGTTGCTGCTCCCTCTTCCTTTTTTAAAGTCATAGAAATGCACAATAGTCTTATCCATAATTCTGCTTTTTGCAACTTGTTTAAATCAGTATCCTGCTAACCACCATCACTTTTTAGTTGCAGTTCCTTTTCTGAAGAAAAGAGGTAGCCTAGCAATTAGGGCATATGTATTATGGAAACTACCACAAACTGACTGCTTTTAGTCAGATGTATATCGAAATCAGGATCAAAATGCCAATTTGAGAAGTTTTTCATTTCCTCAGGAAGTACAGCCAAAGCTGGAGCAGTAGAGAGCTGCAGATCTTTCTCAAATGGGAAAGGGAGAAAGAGACCAGGGAGACGGGAAGGACAGGAAGGGAAGGAGATGAAAAAAAGAATTAAGACGTGCACAGCTACCCACTCCCCACAAGGAATTAAACATTATGTACTGCAAACATAGTGGTCCAGCTACTGCTCAAGCCTGCAGCAGACCTTAGCGTCATCCTCATGGTGCTGGTTTTACAGGCATGCAGAATGCAACAGCTGGGCCGGCCAGGCTTCCACCCAGATTCCAGAAGACTTGGGAGGCAGGGCAGTGTGCCTCTGAGAGAGCAGTGCATGGAACTCTGAGAGCAAAGCCAAAAGTGCTGTGGAGACCTCAGAAGGTGGGAGAAGCCCGGAAGAGACAGTGTCTCACTGTGTTGCCCTGGTTGACTTGAACTTTTGGGCTCAAGTGATCTTCCCGCCTCAGCTTGCTAAGTAGTTGGGATTACAAAGCACAAGATGACGAGCCATAATGCCAGGCCTTGTCCTTTTTTATATAAAGTGTTGGGTTTTAAGTGTTGTTTAATTTTCCCTTTTGTCCATTTTTCCTCCTACACCTGGACTGGAAATTATATTTTAGCAGTTACCCTTGAAACTTTGCCTTGCACACTTATCTTAGTCTTAAATTATGTCTTAACCCTAAAGAGAAACCTCAGAAATCTTTTTTGTTACCCACCTCTTAATACTTTTGTTACTTGGTGTCATGTAATGTTTGTTTAGATTCAGATACACATCTACAGTTTTTTTTTTTTTTATTGGTCTTTTTGAGACAGGGTCTCACTGTGCAGTTCAGGCTGACCTTGAGCTCACTTTGTAGTCCAGGTTATTTGTTTTGTTTTTGTTTTTTTTCCGGTACTGGGAATCGAACTCACGACCTTGCGCTTGCCAGGCAGGCGCTGTGCGGCTGAGCTAAATCCCCAAGTTGGTCTCGAACTTGCAACAATCCTCCTGCCTCAGCCTCCCAAGTGCTGGGATTACAGGCTTGCATAACCATGCCCAGCGTCTTACAATTTCTTAGTTCATCATTTTTTATGTTTTAGATTTTCCTTCTGGGCTGATTTTTTACTCTGCAGAGCATAGATCCTTTAAAAATTCCTTTTGAAAATATATGTAGATGTTAAATTCAGTTTCTATATATCCAAAAATTATTTTATTTCTGTGCTTTACCCTCATTCTTTTTTTTTTTTGTTGTTGTTGTTTTTTGTTTTTTTTTCCAGTACCAGGAATCGAACTCATGACCTTGCGCTTGCCACGCAGGTGCTTGCCAAGCAGGCGCTGTGCCGCTGAGCTAAATCCCCAGCCCCCTACCCTCATTCTTGACAGATAATTTTGCCTGATATTCAATTCTAAATTGATAATTACTGTGAGTCATGCATGATTTTGAAAATACTGTGAGTCCACTGTCTTTTTGACTTCCACTCCTCAGTTGAAGAATCGGTATCAGAAACTGTCCTTTCTTTGTAGATAATTGAAGACCGGGGATTTAACCTAACTCTGCCACCTACTTGCCTCATCTTGGAATGTCACTTCAGTTCTCAAGGCCTTGTATCTTTATTGGCCAAAAAGGGACAAGAACATGACGCCCACAGTTTTTAATATAGCACTCTACACTATACACATGCTGATTATTATCTTCTCTCTCGGCTGGTCTTTACATCATACTGCCAGTCTGTTCACGTCTCCCTACCTGTGCAAGTAGGTGGAATGGGGGGAAAGGGTCAGAGCCAGGAATTCAGAATGAGAGTCAGAAATTAAAAAGGGCAAGCCGGGCTTGGGCTCTCGGCGGTACAGTGCTCGCCTAGCATGTGCAAAGCCCTGGGTTCAACATCCAGCTGTGAAATAAATACACGGTGAGCCTTCTTCAGAGGAGGCTGCTTTACCTGGAATCGAAAACGCGAGATAAGGGCACAGCTTTACACCCCAGCCCCGCTGACTCTGCCTAGACAGTTGCCTCACCGGCTTTCTCCCTCAGGGTCCTCGGCCTCTCTTCGCAGTGCTCACGCTGCCAAAGTCATCACAGGAGCAGCTCCCCGCTCAGCACCTGCAGCAAGTCCTCGATTGGGGTAAGCATACAGACTCTGTGCTCCCAGAACGTTGGGTCAGAGACGTTCTACCAGGAGACAGTGGTGTTTGCATCAGGTTCCTTTCACAATCATCTAATTAGTAACTGTGTGACTTTAACATAAAAACCTGTAGAAACACCTAAAGTAGGGGCTGGGGATTTAGCTCAGTGGCACAGCGCCTGCCTGGCAAGCCCAAGGTCGTCAGTTCGATTCCCGGTACCGGAAAAAAACCCCAAAGAACCAACTTCTAAAGTAGTGAATCACCAGGGTGTGTGGTGAGTGGCGCGAAGCAGCTAAGCGCTGGATTAACCCTGGCTGTTATTGGTGGAGTTCATCGCACTGATTGCTGCCCGATGGATCCGTCAGTGCACATCAATGGCCGTTACCGTGCGTGACACTGCAATGCGCTCCCCGTCACTCCATCGCAGCTCCACTACTCGCACGCATTCACTGCATTACTCTTGCTTGCCCACCCGAACTTGCCTTACAGCAGCACCAACTCGGATAAACAGAGGTAAAGCACAAGCCCGCGCGACAGCTAGAGGATTGGGCTGGATGGGGAAGGAGGACTCGCGCTCCCTTCGAGCGCGCGGGACCGAGACCCGCGTTCCCCGCGGCGCCCCCGCGAGGCGCCCGGGGCGCACGCACTTCCGGTCGCCTCGCGCCTTTCCTGCGCCTCTTCACGCGCCGGCGATGCGCATG